TAAAATCTTCTTCGATGCCCAATCTGAGCATGTTGAATCTCTTTTTTGTATTTTTAGAGTAAATTACATGTTTAGTATCAATGATGAATTTATCCTTTAAGATGAGTACACATATGTTAACAATACAAAATTTTTAAATACAATAACACAAATAATTTTTTATGGTGAATATCGTTCTTAAAATATTTAACTAATTAAAAAAAATAAAAATAAAAATGACTATTCTAATTACAATCGAAACATTGATGACTAAATTGTTTTGAAAAAATAACAATTAAAATAATTGTTCGATCGAACGTTAAAGACTACTTTGACTATTATGTTTATATTGTATTAAGATATTTTTATAAATTATATATTTTATATCATAGTAAAGTTAAAGTAATTTTATTTTATTTTAATCATTCAATCATATGTTTTCTAAAATCATAATTAAGATTACATTTTGATTTTATTTTGGTCACTTATCGTTAAAAATTTAACAGAATTATTAACGTGTATTTTTTTTAATGATGATGTAATATTATCTTATGGTTACACATCAACATCACCGTTACTTTTTTGATGTTGAGTGACCGAAATTAAATGACATGTATAATTTTTTTTTTAAATAATTGGATAACTAAAACATAACAAAAGTGTTAGTTGAGATACTAAACTAGGGATGAGCATGAGTCGTGTTGGGTTGGGTTTTGGCCAACCCGATCCGACCCAAAATATACTCTATCCACCCGAAACCCGACCCAAGATTAGAGTAACTTCACCCTACCCGACTTTTGAGATAAAACCTAGACTAGACCCGAAATAAGTATATTTTTTTAAAAAAATATTATTTTTATTCAATACAACTAGGGATATAATTTAAAAAATAATATAGAGAGATGTATTATTGTAATTATCTCTAAATATATAATAAATAATTATATTATTTTTCTGTTCGGGTTGAGTCCAGATCACCCTAAATACAAACTCGACAGAACTCAAATATATTCTTTAAAAAACTCGACTCAACCCTAACTCAGTATTTTCTTTTTTGAAAAAAATTAACTTTATAAAATTAGATCAAGTCAAATTTCGTCAAGTTCGAATATCGTGCGGATCTCCGTTAAACTTGTACTCTCTTTTGCTTAAAGACATGTTAAATTTACCCACCAAGCTCGAGCGGTTATGCTATGGGTCTGCTTATATCGCGGTTTGGCTCCTTCTTTTGTGGCTTAGGAGATTTTATTAGCTTCAGCATATCGTGGTTGTAACTACTCGTGGCCGGTACGATTAATCGCCGAATTTTGCAATTGCTTCTTCTCACATTCTTTTGTAAAGACCCAATGACATTTTGGTTCAACTTAAGAATAATCATATTAACTCTTAAAAATTTTCAAGAAATTTATCAAATTAAATCCAGTTAATGAAAAAAATAACAGTTTTATTTCAATGGTACATTCTCCCTTTTGAGTTTTTTGCAATCTTTTTGCTTCATATTCATATTTTTCACAAAATATTACATTTTTTATTTCATCGTTTTATTTGAATGGATAAAGCCTTTAATATACATATTTTATACCTAAACATTTAGGTTTATAAGTTTGAATAATTAATACACTAGTAACGTATAATTGTTGGAACCTTTGAAAGCAGCCGAATCTCTCAATTTTTAATGAGGATTTTATCAAGTATAAAAGTGTTACTATGCGGAGTATAATTTTTTTTTTTTAGAGAATTATTAGCTAGTCGTGACTCTAAACGACATGCTCTTCTTGTAGGATTGGTTTCTGCACAATGGGAGAGACCACCCGAAGGGTAGATTAAAACTAATGCAGACAGAGTTATGAGGTGCAAGGGTAGATTAAAACTAATGCAGACAGAGTTAAATTTAATTTGATAAATTTCAGTTAAAACTCAAATTTTAACGTTTATGTTTTGTCTCTATAGAATTCCAAACTTTAGGTACCAGTTTTTAGGAAACTCGATGTTTTTTAGGAATTCTAGTTTCAACAATTTTTAGTTCGGGCTGCAGGGTTTACTACTTTTACCAATTTTGATTTTAGGGTTTTGAAAATAATTGAACAACGTTTGTGTAGTAATATGTAGAAAGAAATCTAATTTTGGGAATGTTTTTCAAACGTCAAAGGTGCTTTTGAGATTAGAAAATTATTGAAATACAATTGTTCAAACTCATGATCTCTAAGTAAAACAACATTGTCTTCAATCACTGAGCTCACTTACCTGCATTTTCAAAGTTGATTTCCAAAGTAAGAGCGGAGATGATGAGTTGTGAGCAAGTGACAAATGCTAAATTCATGCATAAATGTTCGGAAAACAAAAGCAAATACATCAACAGAAAAGCTGTCGGCTATGATGCCGAGGAAACTGGGTTTTGGAATCTCAATTACATGCTAAGAGATCCAACGGAAGATTAGCACACAATTGATGATGATAATAAAACAATCCAACAAGAAATGACTTATTGTCCGAGGAATTATATGCGTCTTGTTTAATATAATTTCAATTATAAGTATTAGGTATTTGGACATATACTTGCAATGATAGATTCGAGTAAACTAGTTTGGGACTTAATTATTTTTTTTAAAAGTTTAAAAGATCTAATTAAGATTTTCAAGATTTTTAGGGTTTTAATGGGAATTTTCAAAAATTGTGGGATTCTAAATGAGAAATTTCAAAATTTTGAGAGAGTTAGTAAAAAAGTTTCAAAAAGTTCAAGGCTTAGTAAACATATCTATTTCTTTTTTGAAAGACTAATTAAACAATTTAATTTTTAAGGACTTGATTGAAAGAATTAAATCTTGGGAGGCAAAGGTCGCCTTGTTCCCGTTAGGATCCACCTTTGTATACTTGTCTTTATTTACGGAGTAATTAGCGTCTTATTACGCTCGTTTTAGTTCGGTTTGAAAAAATTGATTAAATTAAAATTTGATCAATTATTTAAATTGAATAAATTTATTTATAAAATTTATAATTATTTTTTTTATTTTTATAACAAAAATTAAAAATTTATATTTTAATATAAAAATAATTTTAAAACATTTCATAAAAAGTGTTAATTACTTTTATTCATTTAAAAATATTTATATAAAAGACTTTAAGCTTATCAAATGAATATAAACAATAGAAAAAAAATCAAAACTAAAAGTAAATATGAAAAGATTAAAAATCAAAACTAAAAATAAATATGAAAAGATTAAGAATCAAATTGAATCAAACCAAATTAAAATAGGTGATTAAAATTTTCTAAAATGTCAATCAAATCAATCTCACCCCTAAGCATTAACTAACCAGTAATTGGTTCCGCTACAGTGTCTATGTATACTTATGTTGGTTACTTACCATGTAAGACAATTGATTTAGGGTATTGTTTCTGCAAAAGTTAATAGTACCTTCTTTTTGAAAGTTTCGTATAGAAATATGATGATTTTCATGTGCTCATCATTGACGTATGCACATATTTGAACATTGGATCAAAATCACCTTAGCTTCTTGAACAGAATCACACAAGGGAAAATCCCTCTGTAATGATTAATTTCTATGTTAGAATTCGAGGACATATTCAAGTATTTGGATATCTATTGATGGGAACATTTGTGTTATCATGATTGTTGGTAGTTTATATATATTTTTTAATTTGAATAGAGTTGTAATTGATGTTTAATGATGGTGTCGTAAATGATCTATGTCGTCTGATTTTAGAAATATGAAGAATATAAGAGAGTCTCTGTTTTTTTAGTTACGTGTGATCGCTTATTTAAGAATATTTAGTGTCGGTGTCAAATCTAAGGTCATAATGATTATTTGTAGATTGATAAGTTAAATAAATTTATCTGTCAATAAGATAATGTGAACTTATCGATGATCATATAATAAAATCATAACTTACGCTGAGAATATAAAACTTCAAAAACTTTGAGAAACTCTAAAAATACTAACATAACCTAGAGAAGAGGTATAACAATACAAATATATCCTTTTCAACTTTTTATGCATTTCATATATTTTTAAAAGGTATATACTTAAATCAATATATATATATATATATATATATATATATATATATATATATATATATAATTTTTTATTTTCTAAATATTGTTTTAGGAATTAAACTGAATTCAATTTTTTCATCGTTTTTATTATTTGAGAAAATAAAAACGGAAAGAGTTATGACTTTCGAAATCAACATATGTCTTTTATTAATATACGTATGTCATTGTCATTGTCATTTTCTAACTCTTCGTGCTTGTGCATTATGTATCTTGGACTCACATTACATGTGTTTGTTCTATTTTTTAAAATCATATACCTTTTTCATATTTTGATTTTTTTTCTTTTATTTCAATCTAATCCGATTATTTTTTACAAATATCACAAAAAATATTTCCTATAAAATACACTTTTTTTATGCGACAGAAAAATGTATATTAAAATAGAAAAACATATTAATAGCATTATGATTACATATTGATGATGTTTACGAGTTATTATTATGAGGGGATTTTATTTTAAAATTATTTTTTATTAGAACAATGATATTTATAAATCATAAAATAGATTAAAAATATAAAAAATAATTAAATTTAAAAAATGAAATAATATTTAATTACTATTGAAAAATAAATCTCATCCAAAATACCAAGTGGATAAAAAACTATAAAGGACAAGGATGCGATGGTTAATTAATGAAAAAAGAGAGCCTGAAATAAAAAATGCGAAAAAGGAAAAACAATTATCCAAAAAGATCTGAGTCCTGTCAGCCACGTCATCTAAAAACTTGGATCAGCCACACAAAACTCACCACTTTTCGCCTTCTTGTTGTTTCCTCAATTATTTGTCACGGCGGTGGCTATGGCGATTAAAAGACTATAAAAGGCTCAAAACTTCCCTCCAATCACTAATAAGCAATGATAGTCTGTTGCGCCATTAGCAACATGGGGAAACTGTTATCAATATGACTAGGCTGTATGAGTAGGACGTTGATTGGTTCGTGGAACATGCAGGGTGAAATCGGTGATGGCCAAGATATTCTTGTGAGGGTACATTCCAAAATGCCTTACAGCGACATATTTGGGTCAGCCAGATGTGATTGCGGAAACCAGTTGGCACTAGCAATGAAGCCAATCGAGGCTACTGGGCAGGGTGTATTAGTTTATCTTCGTGGACAAGAAGGTAAAGGGATTGGTTTAGGCCACAAGCATCATGCTTACAACCTTCAAGATGATGAACACGACACAGTTGAGGCCAATGAGGAGCGTGGATTACCTGTTGGTTCTCGGGAAAACGGCATCGGGGGCACAAGTAAGGTTTCTTCTGCAAATTGTTTGGTATCCTTTATTGGCTTTGCTTCTCTATCCATCACAGTTATTGGCTCATGTTACCTCTTATATTAAAAGGTTCTATCATACATAAAGCATCAAATAATGAATCTAGCTTTTTGTTGAAGTCGGATCTTTGCTTACTAATCTATGAAAGAAAATTAACTCGATTGAAACCACCGGCACCCTTCAATTTCAGAGTGTTGTCGTAGTCCTTAACATCGTATTCCACACCGTCCATTCGGATCCGAAGTTCAACCATATCTTTATACCCGCACCACATGCTTGTGGCATTAAAAAGTGCATGAATGTAGCGTTCAATTTGTTGCAGATACCAAGGGATCTTGGTGTTCATACAATGAGGCTGATGACAAACAATCCGGCAAAGTATGTCCGGCTTAAAGGGTACGGTTTGGCCATTTCCGGCAGGGTACCGTTGTTGACCCCAATAACTAAAGACAACAATGGATGCTAGGAGACCAAAAGAGCAAAAATGGGGCTTACTTTTGGTTCAGAAGTAAACTTGCAACACTGCTTGTTATTTGAGTTGGTAATTTCATGTAGGTTTGTGTTCATAATAACACTTTGATATGATGATTTGGAAATGAAATATTAATTTATTGTTTGATTTAAATTTTTTACGCTAATTTAGAAGTCTAATCGGTTTGTAACGAACATAGTCATATTTTATTTGTTCAAGTTTTTTTTTTCTATGTATTCGAGATTTTTTTTTTAAGATAATAATTTTCTTGTGAAGTAGTGATACATGTATTTACATGCTTTTGACCTATTAAGTAAAATTAGTTTATATTATTGAGACTCGTATAAAATGATTACGCGTCTATGTCGGTATATTCTATTTATTTTACATGTAACTGGAGAATGTTTTAAGATTATGTTCTCATATTGTGTTTTGGACATGTTTTGGGTGCTGGAAACTAAGACAGAAAAATTAGTAAACAAAGCAAAAATATAGGTTAATATGAAATATAATGTAAAATTTAATCACTCTCAATAATTACTCTTCTAATCCTCATGAAGATCAAGGTGATGTGGGGATTTAATCTGTAGCCTGATCATAAAATTTGTCATTTGTCATCTTCAACCATAAATCCTCAAAATAATTTATTTTCTATGTAGAAGTTAGCATCGACGTTTGTTTTCACTCAGAAACAACTGTAGTAATTGAAATACTCGATATATCCTTAGTCATTGATGAAAAGATGCTCTAAAATCGCTGTTTATCGTGTAAATTACATTATTTATTATCTAATTATTAATAGAGCCGCCGAAGTATGTGCTTCCCACCTCTCCGACGAATATTTCTACGGAAGATATCCTTGGTTCGAGGTCTAAGACGGGGGGTAAGGCTTAGAATTTTTTATGGTTTTCGGGTTTTAGTGACCCTTTTTTTTTTCTCCCTTTTAAAGGGTTAGATTGAATCTATGGCTTGATAATTGAAGAATTTGAGAAAGTTTTTTGAAAATTTTAAACTGGCATATATTAAAGTAAATGAAAATGATAGCTACGTATTTTATTTTTATATGTTGACGATGGTATTTGACATTCCTGTTCATTTCTCAATCTGAATTTGGATTAAAATTAGATAAAAGAAATGGAATCGAAAGGTGGTAATTTATTTATGAAAACCATTATTATGGAACAATGCCTTACTAAGGAACATAAACATTATCGAAGAGATTCGGACAGCGTCCTCGTGTAGGATGAGGACAATCTCGCATCTTATGGATGAGCTCCGGAGGGGTTGGCTTCTCGTAGCACAAGTGAATTTCAAATAATTGTACTGTTCCTGTCCTGTTTCTGTTGCAAGAAATCTCAGCTCCAAAATGTACATCCTGACGAACCTTATTGAGAATATCTTGTACAGTATAGAAACGTGTACTTTGTAGGCTGAAATCTGAATATAACAACGAATAATATAAATCCATAGCTTGTATAATAATATAAACAGAAAAAAGTAAAGATTTTGATTAATGAAATATATAAGCTAATAATCAAGTATAATAGAGATATAATCACCAGGATTTGGCAAGTTTTGTGTAAGCCTTAAGCCCGACTCAAAATATCTGAGTGGATCCATGGGGTAAGCGGAGCATTTTCCTTGAGCATCCCATTCGTGTTCCCAAAATATCTCTTTTGCTTGGGTATCCGTGGGATTCTTCAAGTTTGGCCATAGATAGTGCATGTCTTGTAAAATCGGGGTGAGAGATGGCTTTCAAATCAAGAAAAAATATTAGGTTAGTTCAAAAAAAGATAATAAATAATTTTAAATAAATAAAAACAAATCCAGAAATATTGATTAGATTATATGAACTTACCATGATCATTTGAGCAAGAGGCGGGGTGGTACGGGTACATTGAGGAAATTTGCTGTATGGATCAATTGGTTGATCATTGATATCTTGTGGCCATATCCCGTGAATCGTAAACATATCATTATAGGGTTGTGGGAGAGGATTTGGACAAATCACATATGGAGAACTGCAATAACCTCGCGGCCACTGTAAACTAAGTTTATAAAATTCTACGGATTTCTTAAATCGTAGAAATTCACCGAATCTCTTTCATCAAAACCACAAGTCAACAATGTAAAGAAAAAAAGGAGTTTAGAAACCATTCTTACAGGTTACAAGAGCAAGACTAGATCGGTGTATCCATAAGGAAGGGCACCCTCCTTTACATAGGGGTTTTCACCCATCTAAATAGTTGAAACAACTTAAAGAGATGTGGAAATGCATTGTTTCAATTCCCTAATTCTAATATGATATGTTTGGATAGATAAAAAGATTAACTATTGTTTTTAATTCTAAAGACATTTCCTGTTACTAAACACGTCTATATGCCCGATTATTTTTAAAATTAAGTTTGATAATAAACTTTCCCTTCATTAATTTTCCTAAGCAATTTGTTTTAATCGTTTTATCTACAACATAATGCATACCACATCATTGTCTATTAAAAAGGAAATATAATGGACATTCATTTAATATTATACATTATTGGATAACTCTCCACATGATATTTACATATTGAAAGAAAAAAAGAATATATTATTTTCCATTTTTTTCTTCTTGCCCTGCATTCTATTATTTCTACATGATTTGATGTTAATTACATCATTTGAAATTTTATGTTTAAAATTACTGATTTTTATAATCATAAATTTAAAATTTATTTATATAAAAAGACAAAATATTTTAAATTTTGTATTTCTAAATAATTGAAATTAGATTTCAATTGGACATAAAGTTAAAAATATCATTATACGACAAAACATCTAAAATAGACATATCAAGTCCAATTTTAATTTTGAAACACTTATTTATAATATTCAAATTTAGGCTTATTTAGAAAACTTTTTGTGGAAGATTGCTAAAATATTAAAAGTTACATTAGTTTTCCGTCGCAGTCATTTTAGAAATAGTTTTTAACCAATAATCTGTCCGCACATAATTAAATGGCTTTGCATCATTGTACTCAGAGTACAACTAAGATGTTTCCTTTTTTTAACATACTTCTTTTATTTTATTTAATGTAATGAAATTGTTAGTTTTTTAGAGGAAGCGGCTCTATTTAAATGGAAATGAGGTGGTTTTAAAATTAGTATTCTAAGAAAAATAGAGTATAAAGGGGAAATATGGATGCTCTGTGTCATGGAATCATTTTTATTTTGTGGCATTATTTCTAAATAAATGGATTATGCGTTGAATCTTAAAGCCACTGAATATGCCCAACATATCCTTATATAATGGCCGGTCATACCCTAAATGAATCTCCTCTCTAGACATTTAAATCATACTTAAACATTTAAATTTGTATTTTTTAAATATATTAATCATGTTTATTGAATTTAATATTTTAAATTTATATTTAAACGTCAAAGGGATAAAATATAATTAATAATAAAAATGAAAACTAAAATAAAAATAAGAGTCTAAGTAAATATATTAATTAATATGAATAATATTTTTATATACTTCTTAATAAAACCGCTTACCTATGTTGTAGTTTCATCTATGTAGGCAGCTGATTTTTTTTAATGTATTCCAAATACTTCATTTCTCTGGAACTTACTGGAGAGTCTTTTAATAATGCAAGCATATTTTCTTCATTTCTCTGGAACTTACTGGAGAGTCTTTTAATAATGCAAGCACAAAATATGATATTTTATAAGGCAAACTACTCAAATGATTATTTAATTATGAGGGTAGTATCGATATGATTATCATACTTTAATTTTATCAATATGATCACATAATTATTTAAGTGGTTTCAATCAAGTCACCTACTGTTAACATTTGACGGAAGTATTGACGTAACAATTAATAAAATTGACATAACTATACATTTAGTCATCAATAGTTGTATATTCTATCAATTTAATTTTAATTTTAATTTGATTAAAAAAAAATAACCATGCAATTTAGAGGTGCCATATGTTAATCGATGTGACACATTTCACTAAGGACCTAATGGTAAGGGTGGGCATACCTCTACCACTGAGGTAAACTCAACATTTATTTTTAGATTGTACAGTTTTTTTTATTTATCTTGTTATAAATTATAACATAAAAGAAAATAATAAAACTTAATAAATTAATTATATATATATATATATGTATATTAAATTGTAGTTAATATAAGTCTTAAAAATAAAAATGAATATAAGATTTTTATATTTTTACATTAAATTACATTTTTTCTTTTTCAGTCATTTTTAAATGATTATAAATTCAAAGTAAATGAAAAATTATCTTTAAAAAAATATTTGAAGACAAAATTTAAGATTCGAATTATAAATTTGTTTTTTGTAACTTTAGATTTTCTAAATAAATTTTGAATATAATTGTATTTTAAATATAATTCATATATAACCATTTGAAAATAATTGTGAAAACAATAATTTAATTTAAAAATATTAAAAAATAAAACTCAATTTTATTTTATTATTTTTATTTTTATTTAATTTAAAATAAATACAAAACCTTGAATTTAGATATAAAAAAATAATAACTCATTTACCACTAAAATAAATAAAATATTGAACAATTTAATAATAAACTTTAGATTTACCTCAATGGTTAAGGTGCCGGCCCTTAACTTGAGTTACTTGGTTCAATTCCCTAGGCAAAATATCTCATTTTATTTGTTTTCCTTTAAATTGGTGGTGATATGTGTTACCACTTTATTCGTGGCAAGATTTATTGAATTAAATTTAATTTAAAAATATAAAAAATAAATTTATTTTTATTTTTAATCTTGTATTAATTTGAGATTCAAGTATATATACAAAAATTCACATAAGAACCAAGGAATAAATTTTGCTTCAATGGTGTTGGTATTGTTTAATTATATAGTTTCCATATGTTCAAGTCCCTGAATGACTATTTTTCATTCTTTAATTTTCTGGTAGTATATATATAATTCATCTATATTTAAACCAACGAATAAATTTTGCTACGTAACCTCAATATAGGTTTTATACATGATTGTATAGACCAGACCACAAATGTATCAACGACCACGACCACCCATGATCACGACGGGACGGACGACGGCTGCGGTATGCGAGAGTCCCCATTGTTCTCTTTCACTCAATAAGGAAGTGAGAAATCCAAGCCTTAAATATTCATTCTCAATAGTGTTTCTAATACTATGTGGGATTGAGTATTACCAACACTTGTTTCCAATGCTAAGTTAAAACATTTAACATTTAACATTTGGAAGTTGGAACATATTTAACCAACTGAACATCCTTTCGGTTGCCAAGATAATTAAGTGATATTTGTAATCGAGTTGGGAAAACTTGGTTTGTTTTGCAATATTTAAGTGATATTTGTTTTTAACATAAGATCCTATTCCATTATTACGTGCCAGGATGTACACAACACATTGGGATTAATCAAATGTCTTTTGTGTTGGCTACATGGTGTGATGGCGACATCGTCGGGGGAACATGACGAAGTGCTTACTCTTGCTTCACATCATCTCTTTTATCTTCTTTTAACCTAACTTTCGCTAAGTACATTGCATTCTCAAGCATTGATTAAATGTGTTCCAACTTCCAAATGTTAAATGTTTCAACTTAGCATTGGAAACAAGTGTTGGTAATACTCAATCCCACATAGTATTGGAAACACTATTGGGAATGGGTATTTAAGGCTTGGATTTCCCACTTCCTTGTTGAGTGAAAGAGAACAAGGGTGACTTTCGCGTACCGCCGCCGCCGTCCCAGTCGTGGTAATACGTGTCTTCGACACGTCCGCGCGGATACTATCTTTTATCATATCTTAGTAAACAAGTTAATGTATAGTTCGGACTATTGCCAAATTTATTAACCTTAAAAGAGAGTTTGAAATATATGAATAATCATTTTGTAACTTTTAATAATTGAATGACTCAATAAAATAACGTCATATAATCAAGATATTATGATATATTCATTAGTCATATGAATTATCATCAACAACGTCTTGTTAAATATAAACTAGACAAATACATTCATGACTATCGTAAGTAAAATATAACGGTAAACGACCAGTGATAGCCTGATGAACAAGAACATGAATAATTGAGATAACAACATACAAAAACAAATCACTCGAACGTCCTTAGACACCAAAGATAGAGGAGAAAAACCTTGAGAATATTCAAAGAGGACAAATGAAGAACCGATCTTCCCTTAACTGTAATCCCTTTCGACACAAATATCCGACAACTATCAAATGTCGCGTATAAACGAACGAAGAAATCATGCATCAAAAATATATATTAAAATAAAAAAAAACATATTTATAGCAATATGATTACATATTGATGATGTTTTCGAGTTATTATTATGGGGAGATTTTATTTAAATATTATTTTTATTAGAACAATGATATTTATAAATCATAAAATAGATCAAAAACATAAAAAAAATAATTAAATTTAATAAATGAAATAATATTTAATTACTATTGAAAAATAAATCTCATCCAAAATTCCAAGTGGATAAAAGTTATAAAGGACAAGGATGCGATGGTTAATTAATGAAAAAAGAGAGCCTGAAATAGAAAATGCGAAAAAGGAAAAACAATTATCCAAAAAAGATCTGAGTCCTGTCAGCCACGTCAACTCAAAACTTGGATGAGCCACACAAAACTCACCACTTTTCGCCTTCTTGTCGATTCCTCAAGCATTTGTCACGGCGGTGGCTATGGCGATTAAACGCCAATAAAAGGCTCAAAACTTCTCTCCAATCACTAATAAGCAATGATAGTGGGGAAACTGTTATCAATATGACTAGGCTGTATGAGTAGGACGTTGATTGGGTCGTGGAACATGCAGGGTGAAATCGGTGACGGCCAATATATTCTTGTGAGGGTACATTCCGAATGCCTTACGGCGACATATTTGGGTCAGCCAGATGTGATTGCGGAAACCAGTTGGCACTAGAAATGAAGCCAATCGAGGCTACTGGGCAGGGTGTATTAGTTTATCTTCGTGGACATGAAGGTAAAGGGATTGGTTTAGGCCACAAGCATCGTGCTTACAACCTTCAAGATGATGAACACGACACAGTTGAGGCCAATGAGGAGCTTGGATTACCTGTTGGTTCTCGGGAATACGGCATCGGGGCACAATTAAGGTTTCTTCTGCAAATTGTTTGGTATCATTTATGCTTTGCTTCTCTATCCATCACAGTTATTGGCTCATGTTACCTCTTATATTAAAAGGTTCTAATGTTCTATCATACATAAAGCATCAAATAATGAATCTAGCTGCTAATTCTCTTTGTGCCTTCTGCAATCGAGCTCCAGAATCTATTAATCATGTTCTCTGTCACCGTGAGTGTGTATGGCAGGTTTGGCAACGACGGTGCTCCGTATGGCATGTAAATATTGTATTTTCATTGAATGTGAAAGATTTGCTGCAGGTTTGGGTTTCCCAGATAATTAAAAAGAAATTTCGTTCATTATGGAAACTCGGGTTCTTCGGTCTGATATGGAAAATCTGGTTGTGCCGTAACAAAATCAGGTTCAAGGGGAGTTCATTCTCGGTTGATCAAATCTTCTTCTTATCTATGATTCCGATTGGTCTGTGGGCTAACGTGCTTTGGCTGTCGTTGATTCCGATCGTTCAAGATTTTGTTCGTAGCCTCGAATCTCTACTGATTGGATTCTGTTGATAGGGTTCTATTTTTCTGCAATTATTTACATGGTCTGATCATTTGATGTTGTTTTCTCTAATCTTCTCTGATATGCGGACAGACGTTTAGCATAGATGATACTGTCACTATGTTTCTCGTTCTGGAATCTGGTGGCCAGCAGTCTTGGCTGTTCCTTAAGCTGTTAAGATTTCTTGTTGCTCGCTGTATTCCTTTCCAGTAGTCTTGGCTGCTCCTTAATTGTTCTGGATCCTTGTTGCACGCGGTTTTCCATTCTTTAAGCTTCATTTCCGAACTAAACAAGGCGCTTGCATCTTTCTTGTTTGATCTCGCCTTCATGAAGGTGCCTTTCATAATGGTTCAGTGGTTGTGATCCTTGCTTATCCATAGTAAGGCTTATGCTTTAATGGTTTTTAGTTTTGAGGCTGTAGCACGATTTGTTTCTGCTTGGATGTTCGTTAATTTTCTGTATTCACTTCAGGGTGTAGTCTGCAGCTCTTCGTTAGCTTGTTATGGGCTGTTTAAGTGGTTTAGTTTCGGTTTTATGTTTTGATGTAATAGGGACTATGGTTGATTGGTTTGTTCCACTCCAATGTTACATTCTTTTTCTTCCACGTAGGTTTAAGGAAGTTTTTTAATGAGGTACTTGGAGTGGTGTATTTTGTGTTCCTCTTTAATACAAAGTACTTTTTCAAAAAAAAATGAATCTAGCTTTTGGTCGAAGTCAGATCCTTGCTTACTAATCTATGAAAGAAAATCAACTCGATTGAAACCCCCGGCACCCTTCAATTTCAGAGTGTTGTCGTAGTCCTTAACATCGTATTCCACAACGTCCATTCGGATCCGAAGTTCAACCATGTCTGTATACCTGCACCACATGCTTGTGGCATTAAAGGTGCCTGAATGTAGCGTTCAATTTGTTGCAGATACCAAGGGATCTTGGTGTTCATACAATGAGGCTGATGACAAACAATCCGGCAAATTATGTCGGGCTTAAAGGTTACGGTTTGGCCATTTCCGGCAGGGTACCGTTGTTAGACAACAATGGATACTAGGAGACCAAAAGAGCAAAAATGGGCTTACTTTCGGTTCATAAGTAAACTTGCAACGGTGTTTGTTATTTGAGTTGGTAATTTCATGTACGTCTGTGTTCATAATAACACTTTGATATGATGATTTGGAAATAAAATATTATTTTATTATTTGATTTAAGTTTTTACACTAATTTAAAAGATTAATCGGTTTGTAACGAACATGATCATATTTTATTTGTTCAAAATTTTTTTTATGTATTCGAGATTTTTTTAAGATAATAATTTTCTTGTGAAGTAGTGATACATGTATTTACATGCTTTTGACCTATTAAGCAAAATTAGTTTATATTATTGAGACTTGTATCAAAATAATTACGCATCTATATCGGTATATTCTATTTATTTTACATGTATCTGGAGAATGTTTTAAGATTATATTCTCATATTCGTGTTTGGACATGTTTTGGGTGTTGGAAACTAAGACAGCAAAATTAATAAACAAAGCAGAAATATAGGCCAATATGAAATATAATGTAAAATTTAATCACTCTCAATAGTTACTCTTCTAATCCCCATGAAGATCAAGGTGAAGTGGGGATTTAATCTATAGTCTGATCCTAAAATTTGTCATTTATTATCTTCAACCATAAATCCTCAACATAATTTATTTTTTATGTAGCATCGATGTTTATTTTCACCAACATTGGGGGAGGAGGATTGTGGAGGCATTGAAGAAAGATTTATGATTTATGAGGATGGAGATAACAACACTTTCTAAACATCAACTCAAAAACAACTGTTATAATTGAAATACTCGATACATCTTTTGTAATTGATGAAATGATAGGTATTAAGATTAATGTTTCGTTTAATTTAAAGGGTTGGGTTGGTGTCCGAAACGTTAGCAGGATAGCTGCACGCATTGAATTGGGCAATTAATGCCCCGATTTCCGGTGATTTTGTTCCCAATTTTTTCATTTTCCCTTTTTTAATTATTTTAATTATTGTATTATTATAATTGTTTTTAACGTTTTTAAAATTTTACCAACCATAAATTGATGATAATATAATAGCCTAATAGGATAAGCTCATGGGCTTTTAGCTGCCCAGGGCTCAGTCCAAGAATATAGCTCCAGTTCTTTTAGTCTTCTGCGTCTTTATCAATTTCTCATTTGTATATCCCCAACTAAAATCTGAAGGAAGATGAAAGAGTTGAGCAAAACTGGAGCCTATGTACCAGAGATTTTGGCGTTGGAGATTTGTCGCAATCGTCTTTCGGTTGGGTCTCGGAATTGAGCTTCAACTTGAAAAAAATGTGGATTGGAGTCGCCACCGACCATTTTAAAATGAATTTAGGTGGGTCGGACACCATCTTACCTGATCTGCGTTTTGTACCAGAAATGTGTCTGGTTCGGGAGTCGGTTACGGTCAAGGAAGGATTAACACCCTTGAACCGCCCTTTCGGTACCAATTAATTTACCGGTTGTCTTAATTGCGAAAATTCGAAATTTAAATTAAAATTTAAAAACCGATTCAAATTACTTACCTTTGATCAGAAAAAATTCCCCTAAAAAAACAATTATATTTTCCTATATCTACCCTAAAAATGATATCAATAAACTATATGTATCATTGAAGGAAATCATATATGCAAATTCGAACAACTAGCATGGGAACAAAATGCATAAAATAATAATAAATAATATATATATTTTATGAAATGTAGTGCACGAAAAATGTGCATGTTTTAAAAAATGCACACTCACGAAAATAATAATAAAATATGCTAAATGTGTATATTTTCTTAAATGCACACAACACATAAAACAAAATAAGGGCCCTACTGCCATCAATTCATCGGGAAAACATGGTAAAAAAGAGAAGCCAGGAAAACAAGGGGGCCTAGAAAGAAAAAGCTTAGGAAAAAACAAATTGGTTAAGTAATGTACATATATAATATAGTATTAATAATAAAATGTACATAAGGATGATAATAATAATACTAAAAAATGAAAGATGGGAAAAAGATAATAAAATATATGATAATAAAAACAATATACATAATAATTAAAATAATAAAGAAAAAAGATTAAAAAAGAAAATAAAAATAATATAATATAATAATAATGAATAAAAAACGAAAATAATAAGAATATATAGAAAATGAATAGAAATATATATATATATATATATATATATATATATAGTACTTAAATAAAAAATCAAATTAAAACAATTAAAATACATATATATATTAATAATAGGTGTATAAATAAAATATTAAAAAATATATGCATATATATAGCAAAATAATTAATATAAAATAATAAAAGTAATAATACAAGGATCAAATTGAACTAAAAGGCAGGTTAGGTGGCCAAATAAAAAAAATCAAAATTAAAGATCGAATTTTGGGTCCTAAGGAAGCTTTTAAAAGCACGGGGGACCAAAAGAGAGATTTACTCACTTTTGAAGCAAAACGCGCGGATCTCCCGATGAGTCGGGTCGCCCGCGGGTCACTAGTGATCCATGGATCACGTATAAATGCTAATAATTTTCTTTAAACTCTCATTTTTTCATGTTTGAAAAACAAGTGCCCCCCTTTCTTTGTCTCTCTCGTCTGTTCATCAAGCAGGATGAACAACGCCGCTGGTTCCCAGATTCCGGCGATCCCTCCATTCATCGGCAAAAATTCTTTTTCCTTTTGTTTTCTAATTGAACATACGGGAAAGACGAGCATGCAAAGGACTCGAAAACAAGGTGAGGGTTTTACCTTTTCAAAATCGCCAGTCAAATGCTTCGGTTTCACTGATTTTTTCTTCGAGTATTTTGTATAAAAAAGTGCTTATATTTCTCTTGAATATCCATCGTCCCCAAAATACAATGGGGATCACATATTATTTATAGGGTTTACAATGCCTATGTTTAAGAGTTTAAATCCTAGTAAAATACTAATGCTTTGTTGTTGTTTGTTGGCTTTGGCGTTTCTGTGTCACACATTCGTTGGTGGTGAGCGAAACGGCCGGCGAGTTGCGTGTTTGGCGGATGTTGTTGCGAGGAGGGAGCGTGCTGCGTGAGGGAACCTTGATCCAGCATTGCGGCGTTGGGGTGAGGCGTTTGCTAGGGTTTCTGAAAACCCAAAGTGATCTGGGCTGCTCCACGTAGGACTTGGGTCTGATGTGCTGGACCACGTATATGGATTTGTTTGTATCTGGGCACCAATTGGGCCTGTAAAAATAATAAAATAATTAATACAATATATAACATATGTTTAATATACTATATATTATAAACGTGTGACATGTGAGGCGAAAATATTGTGTCTACAAGATTCTCTCCAAACTTCCTGTTAAATTCTTGACACGTTTCAGGTTAGTTTGTAAGGATTGGTCTTTATCTTTTCATTCCCCACTTTTCATTACCAAACATCATCAGAACAACCTCAGAAACAACAAGCTTAATTTCCTCCTCAAACGTAGTCATGGTAGCACCCGTGATAACATCTTTTATTTCTCTCAGCTTTCGACTGAGAAAGACTTTTCGGTAAACCACAACATTCACTTACCCTTTTTCGAGAATTATTTGTATACTCCTGACGTTTATGGTCCTTGTAATGGATTGTTGTGTTTACGTGAAAATGATAGAGTTGCCCTTTGGAACCCATCAACCAGAGAGTTCAAAACCCTTCCTGAATCCTCAGTCCAACGCCCTCCTGATCTGTATTACACTGCTTTTGACCATTGCTTTGGTTTTGGGTACGATCCTCAAACTGACGATTACAAAATTGTAAGATTTGTTTTTAATAAAGTTTTTAATAAAGTTTTAGATGATGAATATGAATCGAAGATGCAAGTCGAGTTATATTCGCTTAAAAGCGATTCATGGACGGAAATTGTAGAACCTGATGGGCTTCCTTATGGCGGTGCTGTGTTTAATACATACGTAAATGGGTTTTATTATTGGCAGGCACTGGGGGATTTTGATAAGCTTGTTCTTGCATTTGATATGGTTGATGAAAAGTTTTCGACTTTACCTATGCCTGAATTTGATGTGCCTTTAACCCAATACTATTGGGAACTTTTGGAGTTCAATGGATTGCTTGGTGCTATTGTTTACCCAATTAAAGGATCCGAGAAATCTTTTGATTTATGGGTTATGAATGGATGTTGGAGTAAACAATTTAGTATTGAATCTGTACGTGGAGTTGAGAGGCCTTTGTGGTTTTGGAAAAATGGTGAATTGTTTCTTGCGAGCTCGGATCATGAATTAATGATGTTCCCTCCACACGAGAGCTTAAAAATCTGGGTATCCATGCTTATGAAAGATCAATGCAAATTATTGCTTATGTTGAGAGCTTCGTTTCATTCAGTGGAAGATCAGAGTATGAGGAACGTATAATACGTGTGCATCAAATTCATATCGAAGACAATGATGGATAGGACGATGGGATTTTCCATTTTATTTTGTTTTAGTGCTTTTGTCAATTTTATACCTAGAAAACTGTCTATTGGTTTACTTTAATTTACAGGTGCCAGACATGGAGTGGGTTGCATACTTAAATTATGCTTTAGAAAACTCCATATCTTCAATAATTGAATGTATTTTGAAGTTGAATATAGGCTATTAGTATTGTTGTTGTTATGATCATGCCTTGTTATATGTGAAGCAATTGTTATCAACCCTACTGTTCAGGATTACTAAACATATATAATAATATTCCCCTGTGGAATGTTTCTCTAAATTGTTTTCCCATGATGCTTGTATGTTCTATAAATCAGAATTGATGTAATATTTTTAAGAAAATAAAAGAAACAACTTTTAAAATACTTTGATTTAAGTGGATATATGTGAATTACAGATTCAAAATACTTAATTTTCAATTGAAATATTGAAATTTACCCTTTAATTGTATTTATAGTTTTTTGATCTCTGTGTTATAAATAAATCCCAAACTAATTTTCGAGGGGGTACATTTCCGATTTTCCATCATATTTTTAATTTTTTCCATCTTTTTGCTACAGTTAAGGTTGGATTAGTGTAGAGAGGTTTAGGGTTAGAGAACATATTTATGGAATGTTTAATCTCATAGTTGAAAGTGATATATACTGTTTCTTGAATTGACAATGCTTGCTATTTTTATGGTGCTGGTAATGACAGCTTTGATTATGTGGTTTTCATCTCATGTTCAACTACTTTTGTTCTTCAAGGTATTAGTTTGCATGATTTTAATTGTAGGTTAAAAGCAGGGATTTAAATACATAGATAAAGTAGTTGTCGTCACATTTTCAGTTATGTTACGTGGATATAACACTATTATTATGTTCATTATAGATATTAAGGTTGAAAAATAACGGTTTTAGAAGACATTATTAAAGTTATATAATAACAATAACTTCAATAACGGTTTATTATTTAAATCGATGATTAGAAGACTTTGTTAATATTTCTTAATTCCAACTTGTTATTCTTCTCCTGCTAAGGTTTTCCCATCACGAATGGACAAAAGGAGTAGTCATTCTTGATAATCTTAAATGTTTATGTAATTTAAATATTTTTCTTTCTTTTTTTAAAAATTGTATAAATTTATTTTTTAATATAAAATTATCCATGTTCTTCTCCTAAAAATGCCGTGTTTGTTCTTTTCTTTTACCCAAATCTGACTGCTTATCTTTGGATTTTTAATTTCAATTAAGTGATAAGTTCTCAAACTCCTCTTTCATTTCATTCCCTATTGTTCCACTGGCTCCTGTCAATGATCGGCAAGCTTTCCAATCTCATATTTTACTTGTTAGAAATTTAATATATTAAGATAATTTAGTAAAATTTACTTTTATATAATTTTATATTCTCTGATCAAATACTGTTATGTTGCAATTTTATCAAATGAGATAATATAATATTCACATTAGGTAACGTTATATTTTGAAAATTCTACTTTTAAAAATAATTGTGTGAACTAGAAACATTCTTAAAGTGAAGATTCATAGAAATTTAAAAAACAATCGAAGAAAAAACTATACATTTTATTTTCAGAGACAAATTATTAAAAATAATCTTAATAATAATCATATAGAGTAAATTAGAGAGGTGGGACAAATATAGATTTATAAGTGTTTTGTATATACGGGGAAAATTTCTTAGAACTAAGTTAAAATCAAATTAGAATAGTAAATTTTGGCCTTCAATTTGTAGAAGAAATTCATCAAATGTTTAGCAAATTAGTTAAAACTTCAAGGGAATATCAAACTTTAGTTTAAATTTTCTCATTTTACTTCGATTTAAAATTACTATAAAATAGTAAAATCCAAAAGATTCCTGATTTGACAAATAAGAATAAACACATTAAAATAAAAATCCAATAAAATGAATTATATACATCGATTTTATCTTACCATATTTTGTCAATTTTGAACTTTTTACTTGTAAGTGAAATAAAATGCAAAAACATTTTTAAATTAATATATTTGTTATTTTTGTCTATGACTATTTAAATTATACGTATATAATTCATATTTTGAGAATACCAATTTTAATTTTTATATATGAAATATTAACAATTATGGTAAAACAATTTTTTGAAATATTTTAAAGGGACCATATAAAAATTTAAAAAAAAAAATCAAAGGGACCAAGTTTTGAAGGGCTTGTCCCCTACAGGCCTTCATTGTGTTCCAAAACTAGAAGCAATGCTCGGGATTCTTTACTTGGCTCAACCATTGGTATTGGGATTTGGATACATACACTTTATGAGTGACAGTCAAAATATCAGCTTATATTAAAGAAGAAACCAAAAAAAAAATAAACCTTTTAACTAGTTTTGGAAATTGACATATTTGTACCCTACATATAAAGTACAGAAAGCTCCAACTCTGCCTTTTCTTCTCCTTCCCTTTTCTATGTAACAAGCAGCAATCATCTTATATATCAATTGTCATCTGAGCCAAGGATCTGCTGCTTAAGTTGTTCCACTTTAGTAGCCAACTCCTCCCTGTTTTTCTGCAAAATGCAAGTAAATGCGGATTTAATACTTCCCTTTATGTCATGCCGTTCTAATTTAGAACCGCACCTTGAATATCAGATATCGGGAGGTGAACCAGATTGTGTAGCCAAGTCCCACAACCTCCAGCAATTTAGGGATCTGAATTTTAGAATTAGGATTGCCAATCACAGGTAATATGAAATGCTTTGTTCATTATCCAAAGAAACTTGGAATTTAGTGTAAAACGCACCAATGGAATTGAATCGATAGCACCAACGAGAGCAGATGCTAGCCACAAAGCAACCAAGGTACCACTTGCATATAATATGATTGAATATGCATCTTCGTTTTCAAGCTGCAAGTATTTAGAGATCCAATCATTGGAATTGATTTGGAAACCACAGTTGATGAGAAGTATTAGTAAAAAAAGAAGCAATAGAAGTATGAAAAAGCTTCAAACATTAAAGGTTAAAACACAAGAGCATTTAGAGATATGACACACATTTGGATATTAGTACGGGAATATGACCTCTCTAAGGATCTTTTCAAAACAGAAAAACTTAAAAAAAAAATACTTGTGCCAATTGCGTATCCATATCTAACACTTGCACCAATCCCAAGTAACATTGAATAACACAGGAAAAAAGAAGGATGAAGAGACAGCAAGATGATTAAGTCACTAGGTTGCTCAGGTAACCGCTCAGGATCAACACAATGGTAAAAAGTTTCATCAAGCATTCAATGAATGCCTTCCACTGATTCTGAAACCTCGTCATTGCAACCCAATGGTCAAAATAACATTCAATAACACAAATAAAATAAAGATGAATATGTAGCATGGCAATTAATTCACTAGGTTGCTCAGGTAACCGCTCAGGATCGACACAAGAGTCAAAAGTTTCATCAAGCATTCAATGAATGCCTTCCACTGATTCCAAAACCTCATCATTGTAACCCAATGTTCAAAATAACATTCTACAACACGAATAAAAAAAGATGAATAGGTAGCATGACAATTAAGTCACTAAGTTGCTCAGCTAACCGCTCAGGACCGACACAATGGTCGAAAGTTTCATCAAACATTCAACAAATGCCTTCCACTGATCCCAAAAAATCATCACTGTAACCCAATGGTCGAAAAACATTGAATAAAACATAAATAAAATAAAGATGAAAAGGTAGCAAGATGATAAAAGTTAATAGGTTGCGGACGTAACAACTCAGGACCATTTCATCAAGCATTCAACAATTGACTTCCGCTGATTCCAAAATATCATTATTGCAACTCAATTTGATTATGAAAAGGGGCGTAAAAGTAGAACAGAAGTTCATTTCGCAGTCAGTAACATAAATAATTAAGTAAAAGAACCTATAATGCTTCATTTTTTATCCATTTTGACACCAGAAATGCAACTCCCAAACGAGTGATAACTTGATTGATACGGCACATTTTAACAACAAATCGATATAAAAAAATGAACCAACATATGTGAACCTTCTGTTTCTACAAAGATCATCTTAGCGAAACCCAAGTAATCAATGTTTCTAAAATAAGCGATTAAGAAAAAGGACAAACCTTTACATTAAGCTTCTCCAAAAACTCAAACATCTGCGACTCCTCATCGGAAGCTGACTCTACTTTAGGGTCTTTCGGTGACAGTTTTCATTGATAGCATTCTTCACAACCGCCGGAACTTCTTCCAACGTCGCAACGCCGTCGCGATCCTCGCCGAAAAAACGGCTAGGAGCGGTGGAGGAGGCTTCATCCGATGCTGTTGCTTTAGGCAAAGGATTACGAAAAGGCAAAACCCCTACAAAAATATAAACCATTCAGCTCTTCTAATATGAAGGATTACTAACAAAGACTTAGGGTTTACGGATTCCTCACGGGAACGGAGGCGGATGGAGGCGGAGCGAGAGAGCGGCGGAGGGCAGAGAGGAGGAGTTGAGGTGGAGAAGGTGATGGATGGATGGGGGTGGTAGTGAGCATCTCCATGTGTTTGGAGTGGAAGGAGATGTAATAGCGGAGTTTGGAACAGGCAAAGTGTATATATTATATAGAGAAAATAACCTTAGGACTAAAAATGCCTTATAATATATTATTTTAATTAATTTTTTTTAGATTTGTTAAAATGACCAACAAAATCGTAATACGAAATAAAAATCGTAATACGATCTCCAGAATCGCAAATCAGTTCCCAGAATCGTAATGCGATAATACAATTTAGCATTGCGATTTTCCAGAATCGCAACGCGAATATGAAAATCGCAACGCGATTCTGACTATCGCAACGAGTATCCGTAAAATCGCAACGCGTATCCGTAAATCGTAACGAGAATACGTAAATCGCAACGCGTATCTGTAAATCGCAACGAGAATACGTAAATCGCAACGCGAATACGTATTCGCATTGCGATTTACATAATCGCGTTGCGATTTAGTAAATCGCAACGAGATTCTGACTATCGCAATACTGAATTTCAAATTCGTAACTCGATTTCTGAATTCGCAACAGGTTTTAATTTCGCAACACAAATGTTTTGGGTATATAACTACGCAGCAGCATCAACTCATAACTTAAATCCCTAAATCGCAACTCATTCCATCTCCATTTATCATTCTCTCCGGCGACATTCGTTCCTATATCCAACGACATCCTTCCCCATCCGGCAACAGGTTTTAGTTTCGCAGCTCGTTTGTTTAGTAAATTAATTTACAATA